ACCAGGGTAACTGTATTTGGGGACCAGATCTGCAGGGATATAAATAGGGTTAGGCCAGTTTGTACAGTGAGTCCTGATCAAAAACTACTGGTGTCTATGAGGAAAAGACACTAAGATATCCCTCCCTCCCCTGCTCACAGGTTTACACTCACGCATGTGCAGCTTGAAAAAAGAGCACATGCAAAATCAGAGCCCAGGAAGGCCTGGTTGCTGAGAGGACTGGCACTGCCCAGGGGCCATTTCACTGCGTCGCTGTCCAGGCGCTCCAAGGCCAGCACAGCCGTGACTCAGCGAGAACGGGCTATTGCTCCAGCTGGCGGACCATGCCGGCATCGTCCTGGTGGTGCTGGGTTTGCAGGCATGCAGAATACAAGAGTCCAGAAGTCACAGAGGTACACAGGGAGGGCATTAAAGGAGCACCTCAGAGACCTAGGCCCGCGGGTACCTCTCCCTCACCTCCTTCTCTCCCCTCCTCTCCTCCTCCCCACCCTTTCTGGCAGTCACAAGGTAAGCAGATTTCCACACCATGCTCCACCATTCCCTTGTGCCTTGGTATTTCTACCTTGGCTCCGGCCTAAAAGCAATGGAGCCAGCTGACCATGAAGCCAGCTGAGCCTCTGGAGCCGGGTACGGAAGGAAACCTTTCCTTCTTTACATTATTTACCTCCGATATTCTGTCACAGTGACCGAGAACTTATATAAGCAGCCCACGTAGACTGAAAGACCTGTTTCTGTTGAACTGCATGTACATTTTCTTGAGACAACTAAAGGACCCAATCCCAGTAAGCTCAAGCTTTCTGCATGAAGTTTTACCCAGCAGCCATCTCTTTGCAGTGCGGACGTGCTACACAGTGAACGGATAGAAGTTTCAGCCGCTTAGGGGCGCTGCACAAGGGAGTCCTTGGTCAGCCCCAGCTGGACGCACCCAAAGCACACCTGCACAGGGGACATTCTGGTAGATTGATATTTGGAAAGGGCGTGTACCAAAGACGGAAAGAAGGGCAAGTGGTAGCGTGGGTAAGATTAGAACGGGAAAGTTAAATAGCACAGCGAGCTAAAGCTTAGGAGAAAATGCTAAGACAACATGAAGGCGAAGCGCGTTCGATAGGTCAGGGACCATGGGAAGCGCGAGTCCCCTTCTCGAGAAAGACTGTGTAAGAGTAATCTATGACAGAGAAGGAAGAGCACGCAGGTCTTCGCAGCCCTTCTCCACCAAAGAGAGAGACATTCCTACTGAAAAAAGAGAGCAAATATGGTTAAGAGGAAATTGAGCAGCTAAGTAAATTACAATACTTCCATCCCCAGCCCATGAGGCAGCCACTAAAAATTATGTTTATGAAGAGTTCTTAGTGACATAAAAAGATGCATGACATAAGATTAAGGGGGAAGCAGGATACGAAATTGAATCATGAATAATTTTGATTTATGAAAAATTAAAATCAGAGTAGATATATCAAATTGTTATATGCTACAATGACTCTGGTGGCTTGCAGTAAGATTTTTATTTTTTGTTCCTTGAATGTTATACTTTTATGAAATTTCAAAAACGAACACTACTTTAAAAATCAGAATCAGAAGTAGAAAAGTAAAAAGACAAGCAGAAACAGCAGTCCAAGATACTCCAGGCCACTGTAAAGCAGCCTCCTGCTGGTATTAACTGAGGCCAAGAGCCCGGACACGGGACCTGGGACAAGGGAATCAGTGTCAGCGACGCCCAAGGGTCCATAAACACTAAGTAAGAGCGCAGAAAGCTCTCGCTTTCTGAATAATGGGCAATTTAAACCCTGGGGCTCTATATCGCGAGGAGAGACTTGATTTTATGGCCTCGAAAACCTGGAAAAGGTGATGGGAGCAGGAACAGTTCCGCTGGGCCCATCACTCCCCTAACGGGAGGTTTGCCTGCTCGTGATTGTCACTAAACCCTGGGAGAAAGGAGCCAGGCCCCCGCGGCGCGAGCTTGCACCCACCCCGCGCGCTGCCCAGGATGCTGGCGCCTGTCTGCGGTCCTGGAGCCCACCTCCCCAGCCCACGCTCCCGGCCCTCACCGTCGCCCTCTGCTGGCCGCCTCCTCGCGCAGCAGGCTCCCGCGTCCCAGCCG